GCCGAGTTCTTGCATAGGCGGATCCAGTGGAAGGGGGGGGGGGGAAGACCCCCCAGCTGTAAAGGCACCAGTGCTGCAAAAGCCCGGGTCTAAAGCTAAAACTAAAGTAAGGTAACTGTGAACTAAAGTAACTCTGATTTTGTTGCAGGGTATGCTGAGGGGATGTTCGAGGAATTTGCTCTCATCATCGCTGCCTTCAGTGAGTGCGGCAGTTACGAGATGCGCTAACAGCGGTATTCCTTCGCTGAAAGATGTCAGCCAGAAGTCAACGGATGAGAATTTCACTCCATCACACTACACCATTTTTGGTAAGGCTCTCACAGGCATCTGTAAAATCATTGGGGGATATTTTGTTTCGGCATTTAAATTCTTTGGTTTTTTTACCCCCTCCAGGCAATGAACGGAAGGACCCGTATCACTATACGGACAGGAAAGTGGGCCGTGGCTACTGGTATTTCTCAAACACCATCTTCCCGTTGCGGCCAAAAATCGATCCGAGGCTGGAAAAAGCGATGAAACGGAGTGTTTTTATATTCGCAGCACTCCTCGCTGGCTTACTGGTCGATTTCAAATGGTCAGTCTTACGCAGTGCACATTTTTTCTATATTCGCCGCAAGCTTCTTCTGCTGTTGCCTTTTGTTTGAACGCCAAAATTGTTCATATACAAAAAAAGACGCAAAAATTCTTCGTATATTTTGCGATATTTGGTCGGCGCATGCAAAATTTGACTAAATTTGAGCACAGTAGCAATATCAAAAAAAAAAAAAAAAAAATTTGAAACACAAATTGAGTCGGCAGCCAAACGAACCAAATCCGACAACCATGTTCCTCATGTTAGTTTGATGTTCTGCTTGATTTTTACAGCGTGCTTTCCCTTCTTTCTCTCCACCTCCTTCTGTCTTTTCACATGGGCACATTTACTATTTCACGTGGTGATAAGGGGGCTATACTGATGATTCCCACACCCTTACTATGTTTACAGCTAAGGGATAAAACACAGAGACAAATATTCCTACATATTCTCAGCACATGAGAGATGAATATGCCACATTGTTTATAAAACATATTCTAAAACACTATCTCCCAATCCCTACCATGTGCATTAGCAGATTTCACATGAAATATTTAAGTTGGACCTTCCCATTTCATTTACTTAAAATAAAAGGAAAAAAATTTACTGTGCTTAGATAAGAAAGACGTTGAAAAAGTTGATGCGAGCGATAGCACCGTGTGGATTATTGCTGTGTTCTGGATTGCTCCAATTCGCCCCGTTCAGCCTAGTTTATAGGAGTGCACTCTTGCGGCCATGTTATCAGCTGTGTCGGGGTTATTAGTGTGCAGGCAGTTTATCCGGA